TCGCCTGTCTGCCGACGTGTGTGACCCAGGAGACCAGGACGCCTTTGTTTCTTCTGCAACTGCAGTGGGCCACGGGGGCAGCTGCCACATCCCCAGAGGGCTGGGCCCAGAGTGACTCTCAGGTGAAGACCTTTTTGAGGACCTAGTTGTTGTGAAGGCAGGAGAGAGAGCTGGGTGGTGTGAGGCCTTAGTAAGGTGGGGAGCTCGGGGACAGTGCAAGGAAAAGATGCACGGGTCAGGAGGGTGGGCCACTGCCAGGGCACGGTCCCTGAGAGGGGGTGCTCTGCCGACAGGGCGGCCAGGGGGACAGGGAAGGCACGGTGTCTGTGCTTTTTGGCCTGTTTCCAGTGGGGGAGAGAAAAGTGACCAGGTGGCATCTACTTTCTAGGAAGGGGGACTTTCCAGGAAGAGCCTGAGCAGCCAGTGGCTCTGCCCCACACAGCCAGGCCACTTCATTTATGTCCCTGAGCTGCTCTCTCACCATGATCTGTTTAGGCACTCAGGCTCCCCAAGGGAGTCTTGTCCAGAAAGGACTTATTTTCTAGCTGCTCTTCTCTCCGGCTTGCGACTGCAAACCCCCATTCCCAGCCAGCCCATATTCTGCCTCCTAAGATGGTCAAACATCCCCCGAGAAAAGAATAGAGCCCAATATGAGTCAGGAGGTGGAGACAATGAGATTAACGGGCATTGACAGAGTGTAAGGCAGAGAGAGGGCAGAGGAGGATGGGGAAGGGGAAGACCACTGATCTGTGCCAGCTGCTCGGTTGGATTTGGGATGAATAAAAAGGGAAGAAAAGTCTGAAAGGGAGATAAGGGGAGTCAGCTGGGGGGTCCTTGGCTTGTAGAAACCCAGGGCCTGAGTAAAGGTTCCTCTGAGATGAAGTGGAGGGGCCGGAGGGGGGCAGAGGCTCACTCTCTCCTGGGCCCTCCCTCGTCTCAGGCCCACACGCTGAGTGTGGCCTCTGTGCCAGCGTCTTCTGTCCCCCAGGCTAGGGATGGTAGGTCCCATCAGAGACTGAACGTCTGAACACTCTGCAGTCCAAAGCACCCAAATGTTTGCTGAACAGAGAGGGGGCATTTGACAAGCCAAACTAACCAGGCACAGAAGAGCCTTTGCCTTGCTGAAGGATCACCACAGGTTTTCATTACAAATATTGTACTTCTGTATCTTTGCTGTAGGATATTAATAGATGATAACAATAATACCAGGAAAACAGTCAAATACATTTGAGGGAGTTAAACAGGTATCTTTGCTGCAAGATGTCTTAAAGCATTGAGAACATAAGTCTTCGAATCTGAGAGACAACTCCAATTGGAAGATGCCTCAGTATCGTACATATGACAAAGAAAACATGTCCAAGTTGGAAGCATCATAGGATTCTTGCATAAAGCTGCCATGGTGCAAGGCTACACTGCCAGTGCCAAACCCGAGAAAGAGCCCACCACACAGAGAGGACAGCAAGGAACCCTCCTCCGCTCTCTACCTTGGCCCAGGTGGAAGGGAGGTGAAATGCCCTGCGCTGGTCATTGGAGCCATAAACTTGTTCTCAGTCTGGGGTCACACTCTCAGTTGGTCTCCAGGAGTCTCAGTTGCTGGTGCCTCAGATCACCCACAGAAGCAAACACAAACCCTCTTTGGAAGAGCTCTGTTTCAGTCTGGGCCAGTGGCGATTGCAAAATACCAACTGTGAGATGTTCCCCGATTTCAGGGATGTTAGAATGTGAGAAAATTTGCAACTGGGCATGGCTACAGGAACATTTACAGGCCTGTGAAGCCCACAGAGGCACAGCGTGGGCAGCCTTGCCCATTGCATCCCACTGGAGGGCTCCCGGTGCCCAGCAGCAGCAGTGGCTCCCATTGTCACCACTGTTGAGTGCTTATTTGGTGCCAGCAGCAGGGCAGGGGCTTCTCATGCATCAGTTCCCACTGGGCTCCAGCACTCCTGTCCTGTCCAGAACAGCACCACTACTGTGAGTTCCAGCAGAGGATACTGGGCAGCTTACCTGAGGTTGCACATGAAGAGTGGGGGTGAAGCTGGGCTTTGAGTGCATGCTCTTCTCCAAAATACGGAAGATGGTGCCTGTCAGACATTGTTTGAGGGATGCCATGGTGGCCCAGGGAACCTGGCGCATTTCCCAAACTGCTGTTTTTCACTGACGTGCCTATTGCCTAAACGGAGGCAATTTCTGGATCAACTTCAGTTTCAACACACCCCAAGAGGTTCTGTAAAGTTTTTGCTGTCCGGCATTCCTTGGTACCAGCTGTGCAATCCTACACTTTCTATAAAGAGATCACCTGTGGGCATGAGACCACAATTCAATGGCATTTTCCCAGTTGCGCTGCTGCTCTTGTCTGATCTGGGAAGATGCTAGTATAAATATCACATCTCTGGATTAGCAATTTCTAAAACTTCTGAAATATGAGCGGGCTCCAATCACCTTTCTAATCCTGTCCACCCTTAGGCCTGCTGCCCTAGGCAAGCAACGGACCCCCATTCCCTTCAGCCTCCAGAGCTGTGCGGGCCCCTCCAGGGACATCTAGAGAGCTGGAGCTGGAATGGTAGTAAATCCCCTCCCTGCAGGAAGATGAGCCACATTTTATTACAGATTCTACCACAATGCTAAGGGCTGGTACTTCTGTGATTGAGCTAATCCTGTCACTGTGTAAATCAACTGGAAACCCACAGGAGGTGATTTGATTTAGGATGTTCATTTTGGGAAGCTGGTCTTCCTACAACATTGAAGCCAAGGAAAGTTTAGTCCCAAAGGACCAGATCTATTAATAAAATGAATTCAGATCCCTCCAAATAAAAATTCAGATGCATTTTAGTCTCCTTGCAGTTCAGTGGGTTGAATCCCTTAATCTACTAAATTACTATGGAAAAACCCTTCTCTCTCTGCTTGTCAAAATCACCGCTGTTGTGAGGGTGCCTTCTTGGTAGGCATAAACTACTTTGTGGTAACTTTATGTGCAGGGTGGCTTTATTGTGAAGAGGGCCACATACTTGAAGAAGTACAACACAGTCCAGCCAATGGCCAGAAAGGTGACAGGTGTCACCCAGTTTATACTGCTGGTAAGTGATAGAATGAGGTCTCTAATCCAGCCCCCTGAACCCGTCCAGTGCTCCTCCTCCATGCACAGCCAGGATGACACTGGGAAAGACAGGCTGATGGTTCTGGGCACTGTTTTCTGCCCAACAGTGTGGTGCGGTTTCCATCAGTGCAGCCCAGTTTGTATCAGGGCCTCCTGTCTCTCAAGTGGGGAGAGGCGGGCGAGAGAGGAGACGGTTCCGTAGGAGGGGCCTGCATTCTGCACTGTGGGGTAGGCCCAGAGGATCTGCCCAGTGAGCTGACTCCACTTGGCCAGAGGAGGGAAGTGGGAGAGGTTGCATCTAGTGCCGCCATGGGAAGACGTGGGCAATCAATCACCAAGTTCCAAGAGGGGTCCCTGCAGGAGCCCTTGGGAACAAGGATTTGCTTGTCCCTGTTGTGCCTCCCACTACGCCTCCCGTTCTCCCACCTCCATTTGAGCTGACTCATACCTGCAGAAAGCATGAATCATGTAGGTTATGAAACCAAAGGGCTCCTGAGAGGGAGGCTGGAAGGGCCTGAGAAAGCCCTCCCCACTGATCCTGCTCTCTTCCCATCCCTTCTGGCTCCCCACCACCCAGCCTCTACCTGCCAAGTCACAGACTCAGGTGAGTTTCCTATTGCACTCTGAGCAAAAGGAATGCTCCTGGAAATAAGCATCAGGCCAGCAGTTTCTTTCCGACCTCAGGGCTTTCTTGGTCTGTTTTATGTTTCCTCTCCTGTGTTAATCAGAGTAAAGGCTTGCTTTCCACATGGGACTAACTGGGACCAATGTATCCTGGGAGGAAAGGGTGAAGAGATACAGAAGCAACCCTCACCTCTCACCATTTGCTTGTTCTCAGAGTGAATATTTCTGTAACCCTCTAGGGTGCACCAGTGATTATCTTCTGGACTCCAGGCTGCCCCAGGCAGCACCGGGTGATGGTGATTCAACCCACTTGCCCACTGACGGCTCCCAGCTCATTGGGAGCTTCTGAGTCTACACAACCAGTGAATCCCTGCCATGTGGCCGGCCCTGGGCTTATAAAAACAAACGTTCATCGACAGCTTATTGTGGCAAGAGCTGTGTCATCCTCAAAAGAGCACTAGGAGTAGATACTCTTAATCATCCCCATTTACAGGTGGGGCCCTGTCTCAACAAGGGCAGCAACTTGCCCAAGATCACACAGCTACGAAGTGGACAGCTTGGGGATTCACCTGAACTGCCCACCTTCCGAGGGGGCTGTGTCGAGGGGCTAGGTTTCTCTTAAACACCCTTAGAACCCAGCGTCTGTGTCCAATGGCTCTGCCCTACATAATGTACCCCTACAATAAGGCCCAGTTTGGGACAGGGCCACAACCCCGTCTTGCCTGTGGTTTCTTTGCGCTGGAGCCCCTAATCCCTTCAGGCTCGCTGCCTCACGCTGAGATGGGCAAGGCTGCCTGTGAAGGAGGTCGGACGGCTCCTGGTGGGTGAGGCCGCCAGGGCGCCCGACAGGTGGGAGGGCGCCGCCCGAGACCACCCGTCTGGGAACAGGGACTCACCTGGGATGTCCCCGGAGCCCTCGGGGCTCCTGATAGAACCCACGGAACCAAGGCCGCCGCTCGGGGCCGCCCTGGCCTGTGTCCTGAGAGCCCAAAAGTCTGCGGGAAGTTCCCCCAGTGGGGGGCGTCTGGGCCTCCCCTGCGGCCAGCCCCGCGCCGGCCCCGCTGCCAGCTGCTGCCGTGCGGGCCGCACCGGCGCTGGCCCGGGGGCGCCACCGGGCCGCGCGGGCGGGGACGCGCCGCGGCCGCCTCCTCCTCCCTCGCTCCCGCCCGCAGCGGCGGCGGCGGCGGCGGCGGCGCTTCCCCGGCGCGGAGCGGCTTTAAAAGGCGGCACCCCACCCCCCGGCGCACTCGCCGCTCGGGCGCCGCGCGAGCCTGCCGCTGCCATGCCTCCGCGCGCGCCGCCTGCGCCCGGGCCCCGGCCGCCGCCCCGGGCCTCGTCCGCCCCCGCCGCCGCGGACGCGGGGGGCGCCGGCGGGCCCGGGCTCCGGCCTCTCGCGCCGCGCCCCTGGCGCTGGCTGCTGCTGCTCGCGCTTCCCGCCGCCTGCTCAGCGCCGCCGCCGCGCGCCGTCTACACCAACCACTGGGCAGTGCAAGTGCTGGGCGGCCGGGCCGAGGCGGACCGCGTGGCCGCGGCGCACGGCTACCTCAACTTGGGCCAGGTGAGTGCAGCCGACCCAGCGCGCTGAAAACTTTCTCGGCCGCCGGCGGGCACCGCGCGAGGGGGCGCCTCCTCCGGGCCCGCGGTGCCGCAGCCGCGCGTGGCCAGGCGTCCGGCACAGCTCTGCCCTCGAGATCTGCGCGGCTCGAGGCGCCATGCGGGGAGTCCACGAGAGCGTGGCGGGCGGGACACTGGGCAGGACGACCAGGAGGTCCGCGTGGGCGCCAGGGCAGGCCCGGCGCACCGGGGGGACGCTCTTCTGGCAGGGCGGCAGGGCGTGGGCACCTGCGCGGGAGTGGGAGCCGGTCTCTGGCGCCGCGCTTTGCCCGCGGGCGCTGTCCTCAGTGCCCACCGAGCTCTCCCTGGTCTCCGAGCCCAGCTCCGCCACTCCGGGCCCTTTGCCTTCGACGGGCGGTGGGGATCCAGACCCTGAGCGCGCGCCTGTACGGTTGGCTACTTGATGGGTGACATGAGAATGGCCCGGCGTCCGAGGGACCTGCTCCCTTGGTGTCCTCAGCTTCTGGAGGACGGGCTGCCTGGTGCCTGCGCCGGAGAGCTGTTAGGGACAGTGTTGGACCCAGCAGCAACGTGGGGAGCTGGAGGCAGGATCCTGCGTTTAAAGCCCCACTGCACACTGGGGACTTTGCTTTGTTTCTGGGCTTGTGCCATGGTTTGAATGGCAGCTCTTCACATACTAGTTGCGTGACCTTAGATAAGTCATTTCCCACTCTTCTGTATCTGCAGGGGTGATGACAGAGTGTGCCGTGTGCAACTGTTGGGAACATCCAGTGTTATCTGATAGCAAAGCCCTGGGCAGGGGCCTGGCTCTGGTCATTGAGCCAGGAGGCCTCGGTTGTCACTCCTGCTTTCAGTTAGCAAGAGGGCAAGCCCTGGGCATGGCAGTAGCGTAACTCCAAAGGACTGCTTAGGCAGGTCCATGTATCCCGGCCCAAGCCCTCAGCGTGGCAGTGGGGTGGGTGTTGATTTATGGCCAGTGGAGAGGCTGCAGCAGACTGAAGTGTGCCACCCACCAGGAGACCTCTCAGGGAAGTTAACAAATCTCCCGCAGACTACACACTTACAAGGATCAAGTGAGGTGGCAGGGAAGCATGGACTCATAACTCAAACCATAGTGTCAGGGAGTGTTAAATTTAGTTCCATCATTATCCGTGACAGAAGGCAGCAAAGTGTGGAGCGGCCCTAATATAAATAGGACATTTCTTCTGCATCCTAAGTCTAACTTGGATGCTGCTAACGTGAGATATGTGGCCTGCCACTTGAACTGTACTTTACAGAGGCAGGTCAGACTGTGTCTGAAAGAACGTGATCACAGCTTTTGTATATCTCTCTTTATATTCGGACCACTTAAGTCTCTCCAAACATCGCGTGACTGAAGATTTTGCCTTTGAGCAGCGCTTGCCTTGTTTCTCTCTGTTGTTCCTAAGTCTCCCTGGCTGATGGGCCTTCCTGAAGAAGGTGCTTCTCAGCATTCCATTCCGTTCATCGGTTCTCTCATTTGGTAGGGCCCTGCCACACTTCGCTGCTCTGCCCAGGTGGCCCAGCAATTTGTCTTCAGCTAAAAGTGACTCTTAAACTGCACGGTAAATTACAAAGTGTCTGGTTTCTGGCTCCTATAGTTAAATGAGCAGGGGGAAACTGAGCTGAGCTGTGAGCTGGACCAACAAGACAGGAACTGGAACCCCCCGCACCTCCCCCCAACAAAGGTTGGGTCATTGAAACACCTTCTATCAGGATCACTGAATTGAGCCTTATACACAAAGTCTGCTGTCCTCATTTTGCCAGTGGGGGAGAAGTTTCCTCCTGGCATGCACCCCCTTCACCCAGGATGTTTTGGGCATGTCAATGTCTCCCCAGCTCTGTTCTGTGCAGCCAAAGTGGACTCCACATAACCTGGTTGCTCAGCTTGGTGGGCATGGTGCTGGGGGTGGCACTGTGGAGACATTCACAGACTGACAGCTGAATTGGTTGGGGATCCGAGCCGTCTCAGAGGCGTGTGTGTGATTACTCAGGGAGGGCCTATTACTCTTTATTCCAAAACCAGCTTTTCTCCCTCACGCTCCCTGGGTTCTCTTAATGTGGAAAAGGCCTGGAGCATTCCAACCTCTACCTACTCAATAAGAACTCTTTAAAAATCTTATTTGCTTTTCTCAGCCAGGAGAATATGTGACTCATAAATAGGTTGTAGATATTATTAGCTTTGATTTATGGATGAGTAAACCAAGGTGAAGCGAGCGATGGAAGCTTTTTGCGTCCACACAGAAGGCGTGGGTCCCCTCTGACAATTACGCTCCCTTCTTTTTGTTTCCTGTTAGTTCTCTGGTCTAAAGTCTCCATTGTGTGCCTCTTTCCCCCAAACTCTTAATGGGCAATTAGTGTTCTGCCGGGTACCTGCCCGGGCTCACAGCCCTGCTTTTCATGGGTCTTCGTAGTGCTCTAAGTTCGGGGTGGCTTGTTTTACTTTCTTTCCTACAACTGATAACGTGATTCCGTTTATTTTACGTGGGTAGAAAGGTAATTTAGACCAGTGGTTTATTCACCTTTCTTGACTGGTGGATCCCTTTCACTGGTCTGATCAGGTTCTGCACCCTCTCCACTGAAATATGCATCACCAAGAACAAGACGAACCAGCCTCTTTTTGCTCCTCTTTTCATCACGATACTAGATATCCCAAATAATATATGATGCTCTATGAGAAAAAAGGAATAAAAATGTGGAAGAGCCACATGTCATTATGGACAAATGACATAATTAACTACATGAATAATTTGAGAGAACCTAGAGACTAACTAGTAGAACTCCTAAGAGTTCAAGGGGTTGCTTGATCAACAAAAGCTACCTATACAACAATATCCAAGAAGATAAAACTATAATCCACTCTAGCATAAAAGCGGTTAGATACTTAGGGATAGCTAGGTCTTTAAAAAAAGTGACTTTCAGGGAGAGAATTACAAAATATTTGAAAGAAGTATTGAAAAAAAGTTCTGAATAATGGAGAGGTAGATTAGGTCGTGGATGGGAGGTCACCGCAAATTAATCTGTAAATTTGATGTAATCTAGTTGAAGCACCAACAGAATTTTATATGGAATATGAAATCACACAAATTCTGAAATTCATATGGAAGAGTAAGGTCCCTGAATACCTGAGATAAGTCTGAGAAGGAAGAACAAGAGGGGTGTGTGCTCTGCCAGAGAGCAAAACTTACCATAAAGTTGTGGTGATCAGGACAGTTTGATGACTGGCTCAGTGATAGTACTGTCGGGCAGGACCCAGGCATATATGGGAACTTGCGTACATGAGAAGAGTTACAAACGAATGGGGAAGGATGGGCATTTCAATAAATGGTGCTGAGAGACTGACTCTCCACAAGGAAAACCAAACAGATCCTCACCTCACAGTACACAACAGTAAATTCCAGCTCAGGTGAAAGCCCTGAATGTGTATGTGACACTTCCACAAATATAGCGGATGCCTTTATGGCATGGGGAAAGGAAAGAACACAAACCGAGATACAGAAATAACAAAAAAAGGGAAGAGATTGATATATGAACATTTTTGTATAACAAAAGGCATTATAACAGCTCAAAAGCAGGTAAAGACTAGGAAAATTATGATGCATAACAAATTGTGTGCATAGATTATTTAAAAAGCTGTAAATCAGTAAGAAAAAGAGAAATGCCAGATAGAAAAAGGAAACGCAAATGGCCAATAAACATGAGAAATGACATTCAGCCTCCCCTGGGAGTTCCTGGAGCAGGGAACCTAGGGCAATAAGGAGATGGCATTTCATACCATCTGACTGGCAAAATGTGGAAAAGTGTTAGTATCAGATGGAAGTGGAAATCGGTACAACTACTTTGGAGAGCAATTTGGCAGGCCACGTAAGGTCAGATTGCATTAGCAAATTCACTTTCAGGCTTCTCACTGGAGAGCTGCTTTGCACAAGTGTACACACAGCCTTGCGTAGGGATGTCACAAAGCATTTTTTAAATGAAGGGAAACAACCTGTTATCCACCAGCAGAAGGAGAGAGAAATAAGTCAAAATAATCATACTGTGGAATACTATACAGTAGTCAGAAAGGAATTCACTAGATAAATCTCAAAAATAATGTTAAGTGAAAGAGGCAAGAGGTAGATGCACAATATAATAGTATTTCTGTAAACTTTAAAAAAACACAGTAAGCCATTATATACTATTTATGAATGCTTATACACGTAGGAAGGAACTGCATCAAATTCTAGTTAGTAGCCTTTGAGAAGGGAGAAAGGGGAAAGAAACTGGGGAGAAGAATGTCAAAGCTTATCCGTAATGTTCCAATTCATAATAAACACATATAGGTGTGCATATATGTATATCTATATGTAGTATATATGTTATAAACAAAATTGTGTTTAAGCAATTGCACTTTCTTTGTGTCAGAACACCTTATGTCTATATGTATATGGACATGTATACGGACCTGCATGTACACACATACACTCTTACACACACAGAAATGTTAGATACACATGAAATGTTAAAGGAGGAAAAGGAAAAGAAAAATGCATATCATGTGCACACATCACAGTCTTCCTGGATCATCTGAAGCACATATGTGGACATACATTTGCCTGTGGGCCCTGGATAGGAAGTCCCTGCTTTAGGTATGCCAGGTCAGGCCAACCTATGTGCAAAGGAATTGGTGACCCAGAGGAAAAGAATGCCTGCCTTCAGATCACAGGGCTATTCGGACAAAGCTGGACCCACAGCCTAGGAACCCAGCTCCCAGGCATCACCCTTTCCTTCAACCAAGCTTCTTTGTCCTGTGAGTCATCTCATGGCAGAAGTGGCCTTGTTACCTTTGACCCTGATGACTCAGAGAAAAGACAAGTGGTATATGTTAAAAGGATGACAACAAGATACTCTCCCAAGCCAGATCACAACAGCTCAGCATCTACAGCCCTTGGAAGTGATGTTTATCTTAAGGGTGGCGCTTAGACA